TGAGTGCGGGAAGGGAGTGGAGGACAAAGAACAGGCCAGGCGGGCGTGCGTGGGTCGAATGGCGCGCGTCACAAAGTGACTTATTAAAAATCGCTCGAAATCATTTTTAATTCAACCAAGTGTTTATCATTATGCCAAGATATGACTTTCTGCAACGAACTCTACAACTTTTGCCTTATTTGTCATTTCACGTTGCTTTCACCAATTTGTCGACATTGACCTTTCAGCGGATTTCATGTCGAGTGTGAATTTTATCACTGTGCTAAACAAACTTAAGCCAATTATCCTGTATTTTGTAGTAGTATATTGACAGAAATTAAAGTAGTATTCTAAGATAGAACAAAAGAGCAATAGTAGGCACTGATACATGACTTAGGTTTAATGATATTTCAGTTGGTAAGGCCTCGGCATCTAACCGATGTCCGTAGATTCACGAAACAGCGTGAGTCATAAGTGCGGTAACCTCCAGGCCTGGGTGAAACTTATCGCCAGTCATGACAATTCCGGATACTCGTTTAGCAGACGACATGCTGTGGTGGAAGGAAATTGTGTCAGAAAACAGTAATTACTGTAATTGTTGTCTATGAAGATTTTTTTTGGCGTTAATGATTTTGAAACACAACTTTGACAACGTTATAATCGACAGAAATAAGACACGAGTGTGAAAAGGGCTTTCATCTAAGAACTTTCAGAAAATTAATAGCAAATCTAGCTTAAATAAAGTTAATTTGGCAATTACTTGTATGCTAGGTGTCATCAAGCCTAATGTTTTGGCATACAGTCAAATATTTCCTACAGATAAAATTTTATTAAAGAAGGGAATTTTGTGGTATTTTGTGATATTTTGGATGGGTGGCGTTGGAGGCGTACTTCTGACGACGACGCAGGTAGATCATCAGCAGGATGACGAGGATCGCGACCAACAGGATGGACAAACAAATGCCCACCACAATCCCAATGCTGCTGTACGAGATGGCTAAAAGACCAAAGGAGGACGAGGTGACAGCGACACGGCGGGAAATCAACCGTGGCGCCTAGCCATTGTTGTTTAAGTGCGCCAGAGCTATTTATTTTAACAAAGTGGCCGCGGGTTCTGCAAAAACAATGGTGAACTTCCACGGGCTGATGCCTGTCACCAAGAAGCACTCTCAAAACGACACAACAGCACCACTAGTAGACTGCGTCCCAGGGGGTTCGTCGCCTTCACCAGCCAGCAGAACTGAACGCAGCAAGAACAAAACAATATGCAGTTGAACATCAAAAGCCCGCAAATTGATTGGTTGGTTGTACTATGTAATTAGAGCGAATAGGTTGATGATTTAAGCGCCAGCACTGAAACGTGAGAGGCTTACCGGAGAAGAGCGGGTTGGCTGAAATTGCAGAATGCAAGTTAGTTGGTTGCTGGAGTGAGACGTAACAAGGGCCGAGACGTTAGCGAGAGCCAGTATTGGCTGTGTGTGTGTGTGGCTTACTGCACACAGACTTGTACTTCGAGGTTAGACTTATGTGTAAAAAGGAAGCATTTTCGTGGTTTTGCGTGGCGTTGTTGCATTTTTTACGAATTCCAACAAGAAACAAGGGCTTCTAAAACACGCAGGGAACCAATTTGTCGTGTTCTTGTGTCTCACGGAACGTCCGATAATTGGTACAAACGTTTCGGAAGTGGTGTTTTCGATCTTAGTGACCAGACGCACTCCGGACAACTGCCTTGAGAGTTTGAAGACGCCGAATTGCAAGCTCCCCTGGATGACCGAACACAGCCTCCTAGATCAACGCATGAACACGTGCCTTTTCCTGCTTGCCTACCAGCAACAAACAAGGACTTCCCGTAGGACACTGTGAGGGGTAATTAAAAGTACACTGTTTTACAAGAATGCCAAGCATAAAAGGTCGTTGGTAGGCCACAACGGCAAAACGGGACTTCCATTTGAAGAAGGTGGTGGGACTTGAAGTGTGTATGCGTAAATTCGTCGATGATGACTTCAGTGCCTCGACGAAGCCTGCGACGGCAATCTTACGTTGCCTGAGGAACGGCACTAGGTCATAGAAAACGATGGACCGCAGACTAAGTCAGTCGTTATCATTTTTTTTAAATAAAACAAGAAGCGTTCGGTTGTGTAAACACCGACAGAAAATAGCCCCCTGGATGTGGGAATAAAACAGAAATTAGTAGGCAATGGCCAGGAAATGTGCCGGAATGAAACGGAAACAAATTTTACCCAAGCAGATGTACGCGACACACACAAGATGAAAAAACTACCTTTTTCGCCAATTGACGGCAACTTGTAAGCACACACACACACACACACTCAAGAGTGGGAAAATAAGTGATTTGAACGAAATTCGACGGACTGTCGTCTGGCTGAAGCAGTCTACACCCCAGCGCCAATCATGTTTAGCCCCAGGTTTAAGTTGACAAAAGATGCACTCAAATGACGCAGGCTCCTTTTCCCAGACCACAACCTCAGTGATGAAATGATGGCGTAACTGTGTCGGGTAGGGCAACACTCTTTCCGAGCTTTAATCGATAAAGGGAACACCTGGGTCAGCAAACCGGTTCCAGCTATCACCAAACACACAACAGAAAGGGAGCCGGTCACAGTTACATAAGATTAGCATGCAACTAGTCCTAGATCGGTGTTTAAGTGCAAATTGAACGGACGAACCCAAACCACGAAAAATCGAGTGGGAATGAGAAATCGGAGGTCACATCTGAGAACAACTCTTGTCGACAGGCGATTAGGGCTTCTTTTAAGGCAGAAATTAGTTGCGTTTCTTTAAACAACACACTAAAGCGCTGGTCGCTACACCAGTTGCTTTTTCCACGAGACACAAAAACAGCAAAACGGTCGGCTTTAGGCTTGTTTCCCTTCTAGTGGAGAAATTGAGGGAATGTGGCGCCCGATTCACGGGAGGCACACTACTTAACGGCGCCACAAACGGAGATGCGATGAAGATTAGGGAAGTCAGGAGATGAAACACGTAGGATTCATGCCAAGTGACCACTAGATCGTCGATCTGCCTTCCAGTGACGACTTTTATTTGACAACCGTCTGTTTGGTTCCCTGACAAGGACAATGCTCCATCCGCAGCAAACGACACCACTCACGCTGTTACCCATGGTCCTCCCGTCTTTCCAATTGAGTTCGGCAAACAGTGAGAGCGTCAAATGTGACTAACTTCTGTTAAATTGACACATGGAAGCCCTACAAGCCATCTGATGTACCGAAAGGCGGATACAGGGGGTCACGAGAGAGACACAACCGACAGGAGCACACAAATGTGTACATCGCTGCGTTGGCAACAAAGAGGCATCGCTACCGCATCCAATCGGGACACGTTTGTCCGTTTTACCGCACAAACAAAGAGGATGGTCACGGGTGCGACGCTTGTCCAACAGCTACTACGACAACAGACAGAGTGAATGCTTTCGGCTATTTGCAGCAGTGCTGAGTTTACCTGACGTCCAGCCGCAGCAATCAGGATGCGAATACCTACGTCAAACAAGGAGTTGAAATCCACTGTCAAACCTCCACCACCGCGCATAATTCAAAACGTCTACTTGCCGTACAATGCACCGAAATCGGAATCAAATTTGTCAGCCATGAGGCAATTGACGCAAGTTACAAGTCCGTGAATAAGCGGTAAGGAGGCTTTGGTCAAAATTTTGTATTGCATTCACTCTGATATACGTGAATTTAGTGGTGAAAATGCACTCGTTTATAGCCCGATGGGTACACCAAATTGGAGGTAGAAATCTATGTACACGAGTTTGCGTGCATGAGAAAGCTCATCCAATTAAATGGGCAGAAGTAGATTGCTCATTCACAAAAACTCATCCATTCACGTTGACATTTGGGAGGCAGAACAGCTGAGGCGCGGAACAAACCGTGCTATTGAACCCTGCTCGTGAACTAATGTCAGTTCTACAAACCGACTTGCTGAAAAAAGCGGCAAGAATCAACAGAGCCGGTCGAAATCAGACAACATAGATTATGGTTAATTTGAATGTGCCTAGGTTCCTAGCTACTGTCGTCACTTTAAGCACCGCGAATTCACAATTAACGAAACCGAGGGAAATAAGGCATGTATGTATGACTTGTGCTGTCAAGGCTATGGAAAACCAGGTTAGGATCAGATTTTACAAAAAAGCACTTACCCGCCACAGTAAACCTCGCCACGGCAATGGTCTTATTGTAGCCCAGAAAGTTGAGGGAGTTGGGGAGGGCGTTTCCAGCCGAGCAGACAAGCAGCAGCTCGACGCCGGGTGTGGCGTTGTAGGCCAGTGAGAACCGAGCACCGCGTATGGTGTACTCGTCGGGCCGAAGACCGATTCGCGTTGCCACCGCAACGTCCGACTTGTCCTCAAACTCATCGACTGGTGGGGAGGGACTCGTTGTCACGATGTACTCCTTTGGGTCGATAATCGGCCGTCTCTGGTACTGGTGCATCGGCTGGCGTAGAGACAGAGAGATTGATGGCTCGGGGTAGCCGTCTGCGTAGCAGGTCACGGAGCTACCCACTCGCATCAGGCCGTCAGTTGGTGATGGAAGAATATACGCAACAGTTGTTTGATCTTCAAAAAAGAGGATGACGGTCGATGATACATAAGTGTGGACAGTAAGAGAGGGGTAACAACAACGACAACAACAAAAACGGGACTCACAGTAAACTGTAAGACGAACTTGTCTTTCTTTGCCCATTAGTCGACAATAGAGGCTGCAGTCATGCGCCCTGGAATTGACTGGAAGCGACACCGAGAGGGTAAGATTGTCCTGGCTCCGGGCAATGCGTGATTCCTCAATAATAGACCGCGCGTTCCGAATGGCTATTCTTTCGGCCAATTCCTCGTCCGTGGGAGGAGACCGAAAGTGATAGTAGGCATAGCTAATTTCGTAGGGATGCCCGATCTGGGCCTTGGATTGTCTATCTAGCTCAACGGTTGCACGAGGTGGATTGTCGCAAACAATTGAAAACGATATGGGAGCAGGTGGCAACGCCCCGTCGGTTTTGCATTCAAGCCTAGCCATTGAACCATCTAAGAAGGTGGGAGGCGCAAGAAGCAGTTCTGGCGGTGCATACTTCACATAGTCAGGTTCTCGTTCAAGAGTCAGGCTTAGATCCAAGAATGTGGGCTGTTTAGTCAGCTAAAAGTGGAGAAATAAAAGGGAATAAATATGAAAGGACGAAAAGGAAAAACAGGTGAAGAAACTTACCTGGATTGTTGTATTTAGCAAAATCTGACCAGTTTGTGTGAATATAGATCTGGAGTTAGGATAGAATATAATTTTGATTCGCTTCCCAAAGTGTTCTCGTAATGGCACAAAAAAGAACGACAGAAAGGGTCCCCGACCAACTTCACAAGACGTCGATTGACGTGCCAATTTATCTAAATATGACACACATTCTGGGGTCCATGAGCCTATGACTTTATCCTCCAGGAATATATTGATTCCACCCGTGCTGTCATAAGCGTTACCACTTTTCGGAGACACCTTCCATTCTATCCGGTTACCCAGTTCAATCGGAAACGGGCTTGTTTGTTCAAGAAAAACCTCACTAATATAGGCTAAACACACGTAAGAAAAACAAGACGACTACCTGTATTAGAAAACTGAACAAAAAAAGTAATAACCACCAGAACAAGCATCCCCAAGCCACTAAAGTGTGTTCAAGCGAGCCGCACGAATCCTTTGAAGTTAAATAGCCTATTAGAACAAAAACATTATTAGAACTCTATTTTATCAGTACGCATATAAAAAAAGACTGCTTAGTTGTAATCTAATGTTGTTAGCAAATGTCAGTATGACTAAATTATATTGCAAAAAAAAGCTGTGCACTAAAGTTGTGAATTGATTAACTGCAAACTCAGATACTTTGAGATGAAAATGAAAAGAGAATTTTGTGTGTATTTAACAGCACAAACAAAGTTGTGTCAAATTTGTCGTCTTTAGTGCTTGTTTGCAAGATTCAAGGAAACTCTAGAAGCAATAACGAGACGAATAACATTTTAATAAACAATCCATGAATTTTTGCATTATTAGAAGCCGAAGCAGATGTCATATACCCAGTGTATTTTTCTAATAAAATGCTCATATATAAAAGGTAAGCCGCAAGATACCTCTGTTTACTTCCGGAGTACTTCATAAACCAAAAAACATTCACATATTAATATAAAAACAAAAAAAAACGGCAAAAAGTTCGAAACATAAATGTTAGTTACAGTGTAAATTATTCATCTTTATAAAAGTAGCTCAATACTATATAAATATTTTGCGTATTTAGGAATATCCAAGCTGGTCGAATCGAATGTTAACATAGTGCTCATAAAATCTCAATTAATATGCAGTGCTTATTGTGAGTGATTTTCCAACGAATGCTACTGCCATGAATGCACACACCTGCACCATTTAAGCCTTCTACGGATATCACTTAATATCTTTCGCCTTTGCTATTTGATACTTTCGGTTTCATCTGCATAGTTCTATTGTGTTTGTCCAGAACACTTCGGTCTAATTCCTGTTTCTAATCTTCTATCTGGTTGATGATTGCGTTTTAGCAGAGGTCTCTTTAACCGCCATTAAATGCTTTTATATACTTCCCTTAGCCAGCACCATGCTTCAACACAAAATTTTTGTAGCACTTGTTACCAGGTGTCACTTAGGCTTACCAATAGCCTTTTGTTGATTACAAGCTACGTCAAGATGCTGCGACCATAGAACAACCCATAGTTCATATCTGGCCAACCCACCAGAAAATTTCGACAATGTATTTTTCTTCATGCTCTATGTTAAATTTAAGAAAAATTTAAAGACTCAAGGCATGGCTGCAACCTGACGCTGCCATCAGAATCTTATCCCGAAATCATTGTCAATTTCGAGTTGGCCTGTATACGAACCGTGGTTGCAAGGGGCTTAGGTCAAATTACTTTCTTCCGCATAATTTAATGTGAAGAGAATACATTAAGGGAAAAATTAATTTGTTTACTGATTTCGTGAAATCTAATTGCGATTGGATGAACTTTACTTACTATTTGAGTTCAATTGAGGAATAATGTAGCACGTTTTAAACATGAATTAGGACCAACATCGAAGACTTCTGGGCAGGATTGTCAACACATTCCCTTCCACGCAGACCTATAGACTGTATTCAAACAAGGAATCAATCAATTTTCAAAAACCCCACAAAATTTCTAACCAGAGTCGACCCCGATATCAGTCTAGAAGTCCTTTTATGGGTTAATCAAATGTCCACATCGGAATCCACCCATTCGATGATGACCACATATCGATGCTTGTTTCGCGGGTAACTTGATGTATTGCAAAAACGAGTGTCAATTAAAATATGTTACTAGACATAAAGTACTTATCGCCAAAGCCAGGATGATTTTCACGGCCAGCTGATGCAAGTTGGAATCAGCTCTAATCAGATCACATTCCTTATGATCGGTTACCACTCATAGGAAACCCTACCGACTTATCTAAACTGCATTTAAGAAAAGATTAGATCTTTCTAATCCACCGTCAAGTAGGCAGCAGCAACAACGAAAGTACCACAAAAATGTGTCAAATGTACCATTCTCCCCATCAACATTTCGTTAGGACAAACATCAGCGTTTGAATTTGTGGTCGTTTTAATGGTTTTGTGGTAACGTAATGAGGGAACGACGCCGTAATAACAAGTGGAGACCACATTACCCAAGTGCAATATCGCTCGCAGCTATGCTAACCTCTTGCTCCACAACATGAAGTGGACCGACAGCCACCCCTCGTGAATGATGGCCCGAGTGTGCCAATAACTCACCTCTTTTGTTATTGGCCTCTGTCAGCGTTCACCTGTTACGCACGCGAACACATCCACACACTTAGACACACGCTTGGCTGACGTGACGTGTCGTATGTCGCCTCTTTTTCACCCTCTTATCGGGTTGAAGCCGGCTGTTAACTAGAGGATTGTAGGATAGTGCTACTGCATTTGGTGACCTCGACGTGATTGGTGAAATCCGACGAATTTTTCATAACTCTCCTCTGTTAACGATGAGCGACCCTGTTGCTGTAAGCCTCTGTTCGGAAACCAGCATTTCAGTCAACTCTCTCCCGTACAGTTCCAACGACTGAGTTTGGTTTATGCAACCTGAGGCCTGTTCTCGCAATCAGATGACTACCTCCCAGTTCTCCAAATACTGTCATGCTGTTCCATGGCCACCGAGATATGTTGCTACAGAAGTTATCGACTTGCTCGGAACAATGCCTTCTGAAGACCCCTTTGGAGATTTGAATGATGCTGCTCCCACACTCTTGATCAGCCTGAACGAGCCTCGTCATCGACGCCTACTTTCTGGTATAGAACTAGTTGACAGGTCTCCTTCTCAACTCTTTTTTGGGGATATCAAGGTTAATAAATCCGTTCTACGCCAAATGTGGATTAAAACTTTCTTCGCACACATGTACACAATTACCTCGTTCCAAAGCTCCAGCACACATTTCGATAAGCTTACAGAAGTGGCTTCACCAAGGAGAGGGAAATCGAACCACCTCCTCTGATGTAGCAGCTAAGAAGTAGACAACCGCCTACTGCGATTGGATGAATCATCATCTAGACAGCCTTAACAACGATAGCGCACCACTTCCCATTTCCCTAACCCAACCCTACTCCCGAGACCCGTTGGCCGCTTTGGTGATTCCGTTCGACAGTTTTCGAGCGTTCGCCGTCTCACAGATCACACTCTCGTGGGGAGGGGAATATTTGTAGCGGATTAGCAGCGATCGCGCCTGAGTGAACCCTGTTTACTGACCTGACGGCGACAATGACGCTAATAAACGGTCGCCTCTTGTTCCCCTCTTCTCAGGTTGTTACGGACAGTTAACTAGAGGGTTGCAAGGTAGTTCTAAACCTCCGCAACTACAAAACCGCAATTTACCCAGTCTACAAAAGCAAATCAACTGCAGACAAGCCGACCCCTTTAGACTACCAACCACTGTTGAAAGTTGTGACACTTAAACTTGAATAAATACGGCCTTATGTCCAGAAATAAACACGACACTTTGCAGAACCGCTTCCACCGCCCGAAAAGTAATATTTTCAATGAACTACTTAACACAAATATCAGGGGCACCATCGAATTACGAGGCAGACAACAGAGGTCTAGTAATGATATCTTTAAGAACATCTAAGTCACTCAGACTTGATCATTGACGTCAACTGATTCATGAATAAATGCCGCGGGTGAAACGATGGCTGCGCTTGGGGAACGCGGCCATACATGCACATGGACATTCCCCCATGTCTTTGCTTCCTGGATTTCACTATACTAGTATCACCTGCGTCGGATTTCATCAAGCACGTAAGTATGCATACACACAGGACTGGTGAACAATACAAGGTATTAATTTGATTTGGTACAAGTCGCAAAACAGCGAATACTGCTTAAAGGGATTTGTTTAATCAGTAAAGAATTTCCAACATTAGTACAAGGACATCATTTACTAATTTGCTAAAAACAATACCTGAGGTCAAATGACAACCGTGATCGACAACCTTGAAAAAATATCACAGGATGCTAGAAGCGATAACTAGTTAACACCTGAGTAGGTGATACCTGAAATTGTTAACAACCTCGGAGCGTAAATTAGCGCCAGCATAGGAATTATTGCACAATGTGGCGATAATTACACAGGAACATACTGAAAGCGGGTGTGGCGACAATTGACATCACACCACGACAAAATTACGGTAAGACTGCATTTAGAGCACCCATATTACAACTGCATAGCAGTTCAGTTAATTAAAATACCCGTACAATTCCAAAATACTGTACCATTTCAAAATGTGTAAAAACCTTGTTAATCGAGTCGTTGACGGATTTATCGCGGCTATTCACAAGGAAGTCGAGTCCACTTCTTGACTTCGACCACTACAGTTTTACTGTTATCACAGTTCAAAACACAACCGTCGTCGCATAGAGAAGTGAGGGTTATGTGCACACATTAACGCTCCACTGAATCGTAAAGAGTTCAGGTGCAGTAACGTGACCAGTTAACTTCAACCTCTGCCAGCAATTAATGTTATGCTAGACAACGTAGGGAGTTCTGCACATCGAAAGACAGCTACAGCTCCCTAGAAGAGGCGACATTAAACGAATGAACGTAAACCCGCTTATTATCCTGTTGCGTGTCCCCTTTGATAAAATTTTCATCGACAAAAAAATTGAGGCGGACCCATATATAAATCACTAAAGACTAAACTGATTGGGTTAAACGACCTTATTCGTGAAACAAGTGCTAGCACTGATGTACGCCGACATTTTATTTCACCACGAAAAAGTAAGACATTGTCAGGGAAAAAAACTTTCCCCTAAGATGAAGTTGGTCAACGTTCGAGCAGCTGGGAACTAACGGAACCATTAGACCAAAATATGGCTGCTGTCTTAAGCTAATACCCGGTTTGGAGTCAGCATTACATAACTTGGCCACCAATAAAAGACGAGTAGCGAGAACGTAGAGAGCCAACGGGCACGACGTTATATACATTATATGAGTAAATATATGTTAGGAGTTACAATGAAACCTTGAAATATACTAGACATGAATTACCCAGGAACAGATACTGACGTCCCAATAAACCGCAAAATACGCGTGAATCCCCAACAAATCCAGAAAACAAATTCACAAGGCCTTCCAAGAAAAGTGTATTCGAAGAGCCAATATGTACAGCCAAGCTATTCCATTTATCGACTCTTTATCCTGAATTTGCATCCTAAAAGGAATGTATGAAAAATAAATATGACATACCGAAAGTCAACTTCGTCTTGCCACCGGTAGGCGTGCAGAGGATTCGGTCGCAACCGGGACAAACGACAGGAGTCTGGGCGTGGCTGAATACAACCTGAATCTTCAAGCAATCAGCACACTTAACATCCATGAAGTAGGAGTTTGGTGAAGGCACCAGTCTCTTCAATTTGCATTTTCTTTTCTCTTCTGCAAGAGTTGGATGAAGTAGATCACGAGCAAGCTACAAAAAGAAATCAGCGATGTGAAAAATTAAGCAGAACTCTGATTAACGAAATTGTCAAAAACACAAGCGCAACGCACCCCCATGCTTTACATGCAATTCAAAAGTGACGAGGTCAACTGTTTTAAACAAGATATCATGACTTTCAGACAGCTATTCAACAATAAAAATTGAAAACAAAAAATAACACAATAAAAAAAGGCAAAATCCTTTCTAGTTTAATTATGCTGTATTTTAAGCATATTAATAAACATTTCTGGTCCAAAATTAAGTAAACTAACGTAAATTAAGGCTCATATATGTTTGCCAATAGGATGGCATTCCGTTTTAGTTAATAGTATGTAAAAAAATTGCCCACTGCAATGTTTTTTGGTGTAGCATAAGATATTACTACTGGTGAAACTAATTTTACATTTACTGAATGCGTTGGAATTTTTTCGACATAATCGACGATAATTAATATAAAATTTCAGGGGCGAATTACTTGAAAGTTACTTGCATAGCCAATTATGATTTTTAAATAATTCGACAGTTTGTTGCGACAATGTTAAGTCATGCTTCGCGGCTTATATTTATTTTTGGTACTGGTTACATCATTTTACCACTGCAATAGCTTATTATATAAAAATTTTAGTTTTATCCCAAAGATGATATCCAGAATATTCTTGCTGTGCAAGTGGTCATCCTTTTGCAAGCGATGATTTAAGTGCTTTTTAGTTCAGTTAAATAAACTCCAGTGAAACTTACCATAATTTTCTTTTATAAAGTCTTCTGTTTCAGGAAACTTGACCATCATTTACAAATCTTTAACTCGTTAACACGCATTTTGGCTGAATTATTTTCAATCCTTTTTATCTTAAACAACTGGTTTATATCTGGTAACAAGGACCGTCAAAATTCAGGTTCGTTGGTGACCACGATAAAATCAGTCAATGCATAGGGTAATCCTGTTTAGCCATTGTACCTTTTTCCTAAAACCCATGTTTTTGGAATCGTGGCGCTAAACCTGAGAACCCTTTTTTACGCTAAGTAGTTTTTTTATGCCTCTGCATTGTCGACCTCTAAGATAGAAAAATGCTGAATATCCTTATCAAACTGGGGAGCAAATCTCGGGAGCTGCTTGAAATTCGTTTGTGGTGTATCGTGTTGATTTACTATCGATAAACTGGTCGTGGTATACTCCAAAACAAGGGATGCTCTAACGCACTTGGACATTAGCGAACTCCGCCACCAATTTATCGCGACTGGCTATTCTGGCACTTGAGTTTTTACAAGTGAACTCAGCCTCTTTTGGTCAAATAACGCAATAACCATGCACAGTTTTTGAATAAATGCCTACGACAACACCACATGTAGATTAAGTCATCTCCAACATTTCTGTCTTCCTAGGTATTGGAGGAGCCCAAATGGGCAAATAATACGTGGCGATTCTGGTGTGGCTTAAGAAGAAATTCATGAGCGTTCAGTGAGTTCTTTCAGTAAAGAGGTTAGGTTGCTAAGATAAATTAATCTTTTTTTGCCTATGTTAACCACTCTGCCAGGGTCTTAAAAGAAATGGATTATTATGTTAGTGAATTAATGTGAATTGTGCCAAAACCAATGATAGGCAATAATGGGGAATCCTGGATCCCCAACGACGTTTTAACCTTTATGACTTAAATTCCCATTAATCATAAGTTTTCGACGCATATGTTTGCAATTTATCTCACTTAGCATCATGTTTAATGCCTATTTTCTAGCGTGCTACACTACACATGACCTGTTACATGTCTGCGTGCTATATACTATAATGTTTGCAATGGACCGTCATCGATCGCGCGTGAGTAATGCTCACCAACACAAATATCGTTTACAATGACTCATCCCTAGCATTCATTTGTCAATGTTATCAGCCACTTGTTACGCGCACGCACACTAGAACACACCTGGCCGGCATTACTCTAATAAACGACCGCATCCGCTGTCGCTTCTCTTCTCTGGTTGTAACAAGTTGTTAATTCGCAGGATTACAAAGTTTTGCAAGTGATCGAGTGTAAATTTATCGTTCCACAATATCTTGACTTGGTAAAATAATGACAAAATCTAATTAACGTCTAAGGTGGGATGAATTAGTGAGCCAACATTCTGGGTGGTATATTTAGCCTATTGATCTCATAATCAATGCAAATCAATAAAGGTTACAGTTTAACTGGCTGCTGGACTTGGCGACGCCAACGATTTATTTCCGGGAGCATGTGTGGGAGTATATATGTGCTTAAGAAAAGAGCAGATATCACTATGTTGAAAGGAAGCATTGCCATTGTTGTTTGGCTGGGATTTCTTTCCACATTGGGTTGATGTGTGGCAACTTCTGACTGTAGAATACCCGAAAAGTCGAGGTATGCACTGCAGGAGTTATTGACCAATCACAAGGCAGAACCATCCGTCAAGGGCTATCAAGCCGAGTCCACAATTTCGGCTGCGTAGGTCGTAATTAAGTGAATTTTATCCACCCGTATCTAGGGTTGGCAGCTGATATTCAACAAGAAACTACACAAACTTAGCGGGATCCAACATGTCTGCGTCATTGTACGTTACTACTCGAGTGATTGACCAATTGCGTGCGTGGATAAAGTGACCAATCGATATTGGTGCATTACAAACACCTAAAGCAACCATCGGAATTTCAATAAAGTCTGCAAGTTTTGCATTGACTATTATCTAGAAAGAAGTAGTTAAGACGCAAAAATCGATAATTGCGCGTCTGTGGTGGCCAAGTTACTCTTTATTTACTAGCACCCCGATATAAGTTTTCTGCAATTTGTTCGCTCTGCGACGCTCCATCATCCAACAAGATAAGGGACTCCCAAAATGTTCACTGTCATGCCGATTCGGTTTCATAAATACGAAAATTTTTTAGCTGACGCCTTTAATTTGTTTTTTTTTTCGTTTCCTCACCTTGTGGCGTCGGATCAGGGCGCAGACATGTTGGACCACCTGCCGTAGCCAATCGTGTGTCTCTCTGCGTTCCAATGGCGTGCGAGGAAGATAAGCAGCCAATCAGAGAAGGACACAACTGAAGTGCAGTATGTAATGAGCGGCGTGGGCAGCGTGGTGGACTCGGATGGAAGGCGCCTGACGTGTGGCTCTGGCTTGTGATTGGTCAATAAAGCCTGTTCTGTTATACCGGTCTTTTTCCTATTAGGGCTCGGGTATTCTACAACCTCTTCGAAAAGGTTTTTTTTAAAAATTCAGATTGACTAGGTGCCTGGTGTTAGTAATGCGAACTACTACTACAATTCATTTATAGGGTCAGATGTCATACTTTAATTAAATATATTATGCAATGATTAACAAAGATAAAACAGACGAAATGATCAGTTTTTAAACCAACAGCAATACACCGTACCGGAAAAATGTCATCGCAAAAGAAATGTGCAGGCTTTTACGAATTTACACATTTTAAACCGTCTAAACACTAAGACATGCTGCCTCGGCATTGAATAGAGCAAATGGTAGTCGGGAGAGGGGCCTTGTCTAGTGGATATGCTGCGTGTGGAAGTACTTCCAATGCCAAATTCAAGAGAGTCTTCTTAATCGCGCGAGCATTATAAGGTTGAGCGTTGTCATGGGACAGTAAATAGTCTTTTCCGATCAAGTTCCTTGTGCAGGTTGTTTAAATGACGGCTGTTGCATTCACACCCATTAATCCGGTCGCTCAACCTACGACACACGGTTCCCCTTTTCGCAGCGTGTCGCCAGCCGCGTGGATCCTCAACCCCCCCCCCTCATTCACACGGATACTTATCTTGGATTATACTCACACCTAGGTCTCGATGTTAGCGCATGTATGACTCACACAACTGAGGTATAAATACACACGCACAATTCCCTTCACACACGACACAACGACACCAACGTGGTTGAGCTCTGATGTAAACGGTTGTGTCCGCGTCCTTTCCGGTCTTTATCTTCATCGCGGGTATAAGGGAAGCGTAACCGGGCGAGAGTTAATTCCGTGGCCCCGGCGTGGTTCAAGACCACATGCTGGGGCCCACAACACGCTCTTTTGATGTCACTGAGCTGCGCTGCAAGCTCTTGATGCGTTTGCGTTGAATCTCGATCCAGTGGAGCTTGCAATTCGGCGTCTTCAAACTCCCAAGGCTGCTGTCCGGAGTGCGTTTGGTCACTGAGATCGAAAACACCACTTCCGAAACGTTTGTACCAATTATCGAACGTTTCATGAGGCACAAGAACACGACAAATTGATTCCCTACGTGTTTTAGAAGCACTTGTTCCTTGTTGGAATTCGCGCAAAGTGCAGTGCCATTGAATGTGCTGTTTGTTAGTTGCTATCGTCGTCAACTGTGACATGTAGAGAGGTTGTGTAGCTCGCGTGGACTTGTGATGCGGCGTTCAGCTACCTTGGGTCCTCTCCTTTCAAGGCCACACAAAACCACGAAAATGCTTCCTTTTTACACATAAGTCTAACCTCGAAGTACAAGTCTGTGTGCAGTAAGCCACACACACA